TTTTGGTTTAATATTCATTGATAGGTGGGTTGTTTTTTTGGTTTTGTGTTGTGTTTCTTTGCTTTTTTTTTTTTTTTTGGCCAAACCATTGAGTTGTCTTTTTTTTTTCCAGCATTTCTGGCTTGTCATTATGAGCTTTGTGTATTATGTAGAAAAGTATTTTTAGGAACTCTAAGGACACTTAGAGTATCATTAAACTTTCCAACATTTTGTCTGTCAACACTTTCAATTAGTTTTCATTATACAACTATCTCAGAACAAAAATTGTATTTACTCTTTTATAAATGTGACCTCACTTCCTTTTGAGTTTTTCTGAAAGTTAAGATTTTAAATACAAGTTTAAGTGTTTTAGAATGTAATCCAGCACTGAAAATGCATGAACGTATGTAAAGTAGACAAGAACGGCAGAGTGCAAGGTTTCTATTTATAAAGTAACACAGAGTTGTTGGTCGGTCGTGAGATGGCCTTGAAAATATTTTATAATGGCTTTCTCTTAAATAAAAAGTTCTGTTAGCTTTTTAGATGCTTTCTTTTTCTTTTTTTTTGAAGGGCACACTGCTGTTCTAATTGCCAACTGTAACATCACTTAAATTTGAAATATAATAGTGAACTGAATGAATCTTTTCAAGGATAGGATGACTAAAAAGAAAATCTCATGTAATTTTGCGTGTCATCTTGACATTACAATAGAATTTGTCTTTTATGTTTTCTCATGTGTCCTCCTGATATTTTGGAGCCTTTTAAATCAAACACAATAAAATGCCACGTACCAGCTGAATCTAGCAGTACACTCCTCTTACAATTGTAAATAAATCTCTGGTTACATTCCTGGTAATTCAAAACAGACTAATGTTGTTTTTTGTTGTACTGTCACTCTCCTCTGAGTTTCTCATCTAAGGCATCTGCTTAACAATAGAACTGTACAGTTTCTCTTTTTATGAAATAATCTTTGCTGATCATATGCAGACTTGTCCTGCAGCGAGTGTCTGTTCTGTGTTCAGCTGTCTCTTGAATTACTGAAATTTCTTTCTTGAAGGCCTGTGCATCAGATCCCGAGAAGCATCAAGCTTATTGAGAGTAAAGGGAAGGAGATTATTTTGTCATCTCTGTATTCGCATTAACATGATTTTGAAGTGGTATCTCTCAGTTTCCTACACGTCTCTTTCCATAGAACACTAGATCTGAAAGAACAAGCAAATTGCTTTTCCTCCTGTATGCTTGCTGCAGTCAGATGTGTGATTATTACAGCTTGTGTAGACACGCTTGTGCTGGCTTTAATCTCACTAGTTCCTGTACCAGCAGTAGCAAAGCTGTGGTAGCACAGTCCTTGGCCAGGGGTGTGCAGCCTCGTTTTGTTGTACTTACTGTTTACTTACTCAAATTAATTGCCTACACTGACGTCCACGTTTCTGTATTTCAGCTGTTTTCTTATAGGAGGCTAACGAAATTAAGTGTAATTGAAGTGTATCTAACATACTGCAGTCGTATCTCCAAATTGCAGTGCAGATGCAGCCTGTAAGGCAGTGAGCCCTACTCTCTCGTTCTTCCTAGAGATGATTAGAAAGGTCTGCTCTAGTTTGATAGTTCTAGGATGACCTTTTATCAGGAATTTGCAGGGATCTAGAAGTGCTCAAGCACACTCTTATGTAAATGAAATATTAAAAAGCTAGAATTAGCAAAGGAAGCATAAAAATAATAAAATGGAAACCTTGCATTCCAAACCTTTGTGGAGTCCTAGTGAAATCAATTCGTCAGTGCTCTGGTGTATTTTATGTATAAGCCCTCACCCTGCAATCAGGTCCTTAATGAAGGAATTCTCCTTTCTCAGCATGTGTTACTGCTATTAAGAAATCAAGACACCATTCATTGCCTAAACAGAACTGGGAATGTTTGCAAAAAAGCAGGTAAAAGCAGATATAGTGAGTAATACAGCAATTGTCCTGATACTGGGTTGGTAAGCCACAAGAAAGGTAAATACACTTATAGAAAAGGACTTCTCTACATAGCACATTTCTGAAATCTCCGTGTAAGAAACATGTTAAAAAGAGGGAGCCTGCTGTTTACGTAATAGGGAGCAATTGTTAGCGCTGCACAAGAGTGAACGACTTTTCAGGGTATTGGCATTTGACACACACTGCTCTTACTGTGAGGTAGTTCTGTAAATTCTTAAAACTCAGTTTTCTTTTAGAGGTTTTAAGAATAGCAGCGATTAACACCATCCAGAGACACCAGTGCAGAGCTGAATGAAAACAGCAATTCAAAAGGCCATGTACACGCTGTTCACTCAAAACAGGAATTCTTATTTGTATTGGACATTTTTGCAAAGGCTGCAGAAGATTTTCGTTAAAAGTAGGAGTGCTGAGGAAGCAGCAATTCTGCTACTCGAAATTTTGTGTAGGGGCAAAATGCCAAATTATTTTAGGTCTTTGACCTGTGCGTATGTATTTATTTTCATTTTGATCCTCCTTTTGTATTTGAGGACTTTAGATTACGCTTTGTGTAGTACTTTTATGTTTTTAAAAGTGGTATAAAGTTGATGTGAAGAAGCTGGTGTGCAAGAACGTGGCATGTCAGTTTGTGTAGTACAGACATTCTGCCCAGGCTTTGATGCAGATGTTGTTTGTGTACACAGAGAGCTCAGTCTAAGTCAATAATTAGACTGGATCTAAAGGACAGATGCCGTCGAGGGAGAAATTCTGTCTGAGTATTCCCCATGTTAACTCCCAGTGGGTTGATTCGGTGAGCTAATTCAGAAGAAAACTTTACTTTGTAAGGAACCTGGCAGCAGCTAGCCATTAAATCAAGTTTAGAAGTGGTGTGAAATTATAGCTTGGGGCTGTAGTGTAACGTGTTTAATCCAGCAGTGCCAGTTCAAACAACAATCCCTAGATATCATATCCTCTCACTTCTCCTTTCTGCTTCCCCCTTTGCCCACAGTCCTCCCACCAAACACCTGGTGTTAGTTCTCATTATTAGGGCAGAGGAAAGTAAACCAGCTTTTTTTTATTATTATTCCTCCTTCACCGCCGCCCTCCCCCCCCCCTTTTTTCTTTTACCCCAATGCAGTGCTAGGATACCTGTTAAAATTCCTGATTCACACAAATACACCCTGACACAGCACAGGGAGTAACACGGCAGTGGGGACAGATGCAGAGGAGTTGCTGGAAGCTGGGGCCCCCTCCACCCCCAAAGCGTTGGCCTAAACACTTTCCCAGGACTGCCTTTCTGGGAAGCAGTTTTCCATATAGCATATTTTGCATCCAGCTGGGGGATCGGCATGCTTGCTACTCCAGACCTGTTTCCCTTTGTGGGCCAGTTTGGTCACTTAAGAATGCACATTGTTACTTTGAGTTTTACACTTTGGCTTGTTTACAGGAAATGCTTTGGTAAATGCTGGGAGGTACAGAAATTCCTAAACAGGTAATGCACTTCCCAGCTATTACTGCAGGTGCTGTGCCTACAGGATGGGACTACTAAAAATTAAATAAACAAGTCTAGTGCCCTGCTTCTCCTGAGAGAGTAAGGAAGTAGGTGCCCGACCTGCGTAGGAGTTACTGTACATCCCACTGGTTGCACCTCACCTGTAAATGTTTAAGCCAAACTATACACAACAGGCTGTTGTTCTACTGAGATGCATACTTAGTAAATGTACACTTTTTTGGTGGTGGTGTTCGCCTGTACCCTCCGGGATAGTGCTGTACATAAATGAGCACTGAGCATGAAAGTTGAAATAAAGACTTCGGGACTCCTTTCATGGCATACGTAACCATGTAGTTTTAAGATACAGGTGCAAGTGTGGATAGAGCCCTTCCCATACCTTCATTCACAAAGCCTAGCCATGAATGACTGAATGATTTCTAAGGGCTAGTCATGGAGGATTTTGTTTTGAAGCATAAAGTGATTTTTTTTTCCCTGCTGTCTGGAAAAGGCGATACAGTTTTTCTTGATCTGAAATTGCGCTTTGAAATTGTACTTTTATGTGCAGGTGATCTGTTTTGATATTTAAAGATTATATCTGATCCAGGCAGATAGTTTGGGAAAAAAACCAGAATATTTCCTTACAGTTTTAATTTTAATCCAAGTATTTTATAATGATATTTTTCAGGAGGAAGAAAAGTATTGCTGTGGTGGGCAAGGCCTCAATTTTTATTGACTCATTACTGCCAGCACAGCAATTTACAGCAGCAGTACAGCCAGTGTTTAAAGTTCACTGGGGCTACAGCTCCCCCAGCCATAAAAATAATCTATATCTGTGTGAATACCACTGGCATTTCTTCACCCTCAGCTTAACAAAGGAAGCTGGGGCACTCACAAGGTGCCTCCTGCTGGTGCGCACGCAGGCTTTGAAGGGGCAGCTGGACCAGGGATGAGGATGCTTGTGGAAGTGTCCAGGTGGTGGCTCTGAGGTGGCTGGCAGCAGGCTGCCACCTCACCTTCTCGCATCCCTCCGGCCTCTGTCACCCACAGGCTACAGTTGCACCCCACCACCCTCCAAAATCATCACTTTACCGGAAAAGAGGAAGGAAGCACCTGTGCTTCAGCATGAGTGCACTTCACTGTTGAGTTTAACATCGGTATTGTGAAGGTGGTTGAGGGATTTGTGTGGCTTAGTTGGGTGTGTGTGTGTGCGTGTTGGTGTTTGGAGTGCAACAGCTAGGGTCTTTCGCCAAGAAGAGGTGGGTCTCTGCTGTGTGCGTGGGTGCAAGTCAGGCTTCTGCTATACTGCAGAATTGTCAAACAGGTAACTTTCCTGGGAACACTTTGTTTGGGCAAGAACACTGAAGAGCTGCCGATTACGGGAACACTGCTGAGCAAAAAGCCTCAATCTTTGTGTGCCTTGTTGCTTAAGACCAGAGAAATAATAATATCTAGTTCGATAATACTTAAAGGAAGATTTGGTTCACTTTAAACCATTTAAAGTTGTTCCGTTGACAGGTAGTATTTCAGACTTCCGTGCGAAAAGTGTGATGTTTATAAAAGCTTTAAATTTTCTTGCATTACAGAGCGCCTTTATTTTGCAATTCTCTGCCAAAAACCAAAGAGTGGAGCTACAAATACCCATTATTTCTGCATAGATGATGAACTTGTATATGAGAAGTAAGTACAGACTTATTTTTTCCTGTTTTTACAGAAGTAACTTAGTCAGAACAACAGCAATGAGGAACCAGTCTAATTGATGTTCTGTTTTTAAATATAGCTAAGGGAAACATACCATTCCCATTATAGAACTAATTACACTAGCTTGGTCCTCTCAGATTTATCTGCTATGATTTATTGTCTTAGAATGGTTTCTTGGCTTCCCATCAGGATTTCTTAAAAATCTTTTCAAAGCAGAACCTTTCATTGTAACCATTCTTGTTAGAAGATACAGGAACATTATGCAACAACACATACCCAGAAGTGTGCGCTCGACTGCAGAGCTGAAAGGGATGTCTTTGGTTGCTCATATATTAAGTGGAATATCTAAACTTCCTGGAATAAGAGTAAAAACCAGTAAAATCAGTTCAAGCCTTTATGAGCCGACAATGGATATATTATTTCCCCTATAGTGAACAGTGTATGCCTTTGTATGCGATCTGGAGTGCGGCTAATTCTTTAAATATTTTTGACCAAGGGCATGCTTGCTGTTTTTGAAAGTACTAATCAATCTTTATTCTCTGTGTTCACTTTTCTTTAGCAGTTAGAGGGGGCCAGTTAGCTCAGTCAGTTGAGCATGGCGCTAACAAGGTTAAGGTCACGGGTTCGATTCCCGTTCGGTCCCCATGTGTTGCCTGATCTAGTTGACAGGTGGTGTCACTGGCAACAGGGAGACTGGATTAAATGATCTCTAAGGTCCCTTCCAGTTTAGGCCATTCTATGAGTCTATGAAACTACATCTTTTGGATTGCTTTTAAAATCGTGTTTCTAAACTGGTGTCACAGAGTAATGCAGTATTGAGAATTTTTCAAACCTTGAATATTCTGGTTTGGTTTTGAGTGGTGATATGTGGATAACAAAGAAAAAAGTTGTAGTTCCTGTTTAAATGTGACAAAACTGTTTCCTGCAAAAAGTAGTAGATATAAATGTAAGAAGGAGTTCTTGATTTTTAGAATGATGCACATATATCACATATATATTATTACTCCTTGCTTTGTGTGTCTGATTAAAAAAAAGAAGAGGCATTTACAGAGGTCGTGTACAATTTTCCCTTTTCTCCCACCAGCTTCTATGCAGACTTTGGACCACTCAATCTGGCAATGGTCTACAGATATTGCTGCAAGCTAAATAAGAAATTAAAGGTAATGCTGGTTTTCTTACTTGATGTTTCTGACTTTTTAAAGAACAAAAGCAAATGGGCCAAAAGTGATTTTTGTTCAGATGCTTTCCTGGGTTTCTAAACTAAGTTTTGAATATAAATGCCCGATTTTGTCCGGGTGAATTTAGGAAGGAGGATCAGGAGGAGAAAGCCACTTTTAGATCCAGACAGTGCACCACTTTGGCTGTAGCTAATGTTAAGCACCTAAAAGATCAGTTGCTAAATGGGTACAAACTTCTTTAAATGAAAAGCTTCCCTCCTGGAATTCAGTCTTCTTGGCAAACTGCCTGTATTAAGTGAACCTGAGGGTGCAGTGCAACGCTTTTTATTTGAGATGGTTTTGTTTGACATGGGTTTCTCTTCTGGTCCTGACATCTCTTTGGTAAGAAGCAACATTTGATCTTTGCTTGCGTTTATGGCGTTGTCCTGAAGGACAATGCCATGCTCTTGCTACAGATTATCTTGTCGGAGGAGTGCTTAAGAATTTTTGGGATTGGACTCTGGATAGAGCGTAGTGCCTTTAAAACACAGAGTTCCTATATTAAATAACATGAATGACTTGAAGTTAGTTGACCTCTAACAGATGTTGGAAGTATAAAACCTGTTAGGCAGATAAAAAAGCTTATTAGCATCAATATGAATCACAGTTTAACTCCTCAAAACTGCTTAGATCTTGAAATTGCCACTGAACTGTGAAAATTGGGAAGTATGCAGAACATCATATCTTAGCAGAGATACTTTTTTTTTTATTCCTTAATGTCTGTCACTGGTATTAGACTTGTCTTGTTCCTGTGGCACTACGAACAGGTTTGCCAGAAACAGATTTCTCTGATTTTTTTGTTTACAGGATGCTCTGAAGCAGCACAAGTCTACTTTATAATTCTGTTGAATTACTTGGGTTTGATATTGGAGAAGTGTGTTAGGTTTACTGAGAACATACTACTGCTAATGATCTGGGGTTTGCTTTTCTTGAATACGTTAAATAGTATGTGAGCAAGTAATATTACTATTTAAACAGTGACATTTATGATAGCTTAACAGTTGATCAAAGTATACAATTTCAGGTGCGTTAGAATTTGTTTCAAGGGCCAGTCAGGGGATAGTTTTTGATGCCACAACAGATGTAAGTGTCCTTTATATTGGCAATGCCGTTCCATCTCCTTTCTAAGATAACTTGAGAAGCTATATGCCAAGCTGAGATGAAATTTTTAAATTATTTATTATAAAGTTTAGAAATACTTTCAAAATATTTTAATCTAAGCATATATTTTCCAGTGGTTCTTGTGCTTAGAAACAACTACTGGTTGATTTGTGTGGAGTCAGGTTTTCTTTAAGAATAAGAAAGTCTAAATTCTGTTTTCAAAATTGTTGCCATGTTAACATGCTCTTAATATTTTTGAGAAGGCCACTTTGTATTTACTTCTGTTATTTACACATATGTGTTACATAGGGCTTGAAGTCAGAAATACTAAATGCATTTAAGGAGAAGAGAAAGGAATACTGCAATTTGTATCAAAAGTTGCTTAGGCTGGTTTCTGGGAAAAATAGTAGAACAATCTGGGTAGGGATGGAATAAAATCTTCCAAAATCTCGAAGCGTACTTGGTCCTTTGAATACAAGTGGCTGAAAGTAGGTGACCAGACCCTTGCATTCCTCTAATTTTATAAAAGAAGGCATGAAAAGTCTAAAATGCAAAATTGTAATCTTATTCACTTCTTGATACAGTCATTTTCTTTGATAAAGAAGAAAATAATTCATTATACCGGCTGTGATCAGAAAAAGCAAGCAAATGCTGCATTTCTCATAGGCTCCTACGCAGTAAGTATTTAAATTTTTACACTACATCAACTTGCTAAATGTGTTCAGATTTTTCATACTCAGTTTTTAAAACGGCAAGATAAACCCAATCTTTTTTTGTGAATGGTGTTCCTAATGTTTAGTAAGATACCACACACTGCCAGTTTTTACAGCGTAGCAGGTAGTGAATAGAGTTGCATGGTTTTGTTTTTCTCCTCTCTGCTGCAAGCCATGCTCCTAAGAAATTAAGAGCACTACTGAAAAGGAACTTTGCAAATATTTTCGTTTAGAAAAAATGACTGCTGCTTAATGTTTTTCCTTTGCCCCACCCACACATAGTCTCTTTTTTCTTTTTTGAAATAGAGAAATATTATCTTACACAAAGTACAGCGTATCATTTCCCATTGCATGCACGTTTAAATATACCTCTTCTTTCCAGCTATTCCTTTTCTAGTGTAAGGTGATCTCTTCAGTTAGCTTAGGAGAAGGAGTGAGATCGTGTGGTAGGCTGAGAGCTGATATAAAGCCTGATAATGTACGGGTGGCTGAAAATGTACTGAGCTGATTCCCTGACTGCAGTGGGGAAAATAACTGGCTCGATCTCACAACTGCGTGTGTTGGGTGTGCAGTAGTATAGTCAACGAATGAAATGCTGAATGCTTCAGAATGTAAGATATGGTGTACCTTGGTCATGTTCTGCTTCGATTCGTAACACAGCTTGATTTTAACCATCTCTCTTGCTTACTGAGTAATAAAATGAAGTGAGAACCTGTGCATTTTTTGATGTTGGAGATTTGAGGGGTTAGAGTTTATGTAGCCTTAGGTCATTCCTCTTTATTAGCTTCGAGGCAACACAGTACTTGCTGCAGTCTCCTTATTGCCTCTCTACATCATGCAGGAGGTCTGTTTCCTGCTCCCGAGGGTTTCTCTGTTGTCTGCTTTCTATGGTACTTACAAATTAAGAAGTAGATTTCCTAATGTGTCACTCTTGGTATGTGAAACACAAACACTTAAGAATGTTGATGTAGACTTTTGCATTCTTAAATCACATGGAAGCTAGCAACATAAGTTACTAAATGGACTTGCCGTTCAGGCATTATATTGACAAAACAGCTGTAGCTTTTAGGAAAACTGCCTCCCACTGACTAGATCATAATGGAAGCCCGGAAAGTGAGAGGGGATGATCTTCAGTTATCAGCCATTATTTAGAAGGGAATGAGTTTTGTTTTCCCCTAAACTTTTGCTCTGGATATGTATGGTGGTATTGCGCAGCACAGCATCTGACATTTTGCACAGAATCCGCAGTACAGAAAATTAATTAATGGCAAAACAATGCAACACAAAAACACTGTCAATAACTATTTGAAAGTTTACAAAAAATCCCCAAACACAAATCCAGTAGCCCTGCCATGTTGGAATAACAGCATGAAGTTGAAAGGAAGTGCTTGGACAGACTTGAACAAAGCTGTAAGATTATTATGTATGGATCATAACAGTCCAAAGCACAGTAATTAAAAATGGAGGTTGTTAGACAGAGGAGTAGGTAGGTTTTGCTTCAGTGAAGTGCAGTGAAGGAGGTGGGAGATACAGAGTGCAGAAGGGATGATAAAACAGATCCAGATGAAGTACGACACAAGGTCATGACTGACAAGAGAATGCTTGTGGGAGGGCTAGCTGTGGACACCTGCCATATGACAGAAGGAGGCTAGTCAAAACCACCGGTAATCTTCAGAGTTCAGAGGCTTGTGCTTAGATTATTGCATTGCACAGGCTGAGTATTTCAGCAGTTTTGCCTGAAGACCCATAGCAAAGTGAAGCACATGTGAGTGTTAGTCACCTCCTTGAATGGGGATGGATCTGTCTTGCATAATAACAAGTTCTAAATGGTGAGGTAGCTCTGTCTGGATACTGATTTTCTTTCGAGGGCAACAGACTTTGGCTTTGGTACTGCTTTTTCTGTAAGGTAGGGTACAGGTCCTTCCCAGATCGATATGGGAGGGATTCCAGTGAAGGAAGATCACAGAATAAAGACTGTGCCCTTCAGGCTTACTTTTTTCCCCTGGCGCCCTTTGATGATCTTTTGTGAAGAGGCAGGCTTAACTGCAGCACTCATTGCTGAAATGTTCTAACACAGGTTTCTGCTTTCTGCAGGGAGAATTGGATTGTTCTCTATGGGGTGAGCCGTGGTATAGGATCTGCTCAGAATGCATGATAAATGTATATCTGTAAGCATGTTTCCTGGTTGAAAGGAAATATATTGAGGTCTTCTTTATTTAAAAAATATGTAGGCTTAAGCATCCCATCTAGTTCTTCAGTTCAGAGGGCTTTGGTTTTGGTTTAAGATGGGTCCATACAGCTATTGGTCAAAACTTTAGGAAGCTTTACTGTAGTTTTACTCAATCAGACCATGTCCTGTTGGTAATGCTTTTCGCTACTTGAACCGAGTATCATAATTTAGTTTCTCTTTCCTTACGGTGTAAGTGATATTTGCCACTGTGTCTTGTTTTGTGTGCCTTTGAACATGTTTCCTTGTTTGATTTTGGGTTTTTTTAGCTTCATAGTGGCTTCCCAGTCGAAGAGTTTACCTTAGGTTGAGAAACTGTGTGACAGTGCATCAAATAGGAGGAGCTCAGGTGGGCAGTGCAAGGAAGTAGAACGGGAAAGTAGCCTTCACATAGTGCTTGTCCACGTGTGTTGCAAGGCCTTTGATAAGTTAAGCATAGTTTCAGGTGTGCAAGATGCTCTGTAGATGCAGATGCTTAAAGTTACTTGTTAGGAATAACAGGCTGCTAGGTTTTCAGGAATAGCATAGATGCAGTAAGTGGGTCTTGTTTTGTTTTGTTCTTAGTCACATTTTGACTATGGAACTCTAATGAACTGTATATGACTAGTTCCCCTCTGGTACTTGAACATCCTCATAAACATTCAATATTTTATGCTAGCAGCTTCCAAGCCTGTCATTGTAAGGCCTTGTTGACCTTAAAATTTGTATTCCTAAACCAAATAATATTCTGTTTATAATTCAACATCTTTTGTTTAAATATGTTTGTGTATATACATACATATATAATGTGAGGATATGCTCATTTTAACTCCTAAGGCAATTATGAAAGTGTTCATTAGCTGTGGTGACGTTTAAGGGTAGTTTAAGATCACTAGTTCTGGTTTAAAAGCGAAGTCTGTTCCATCTTCTTCACAGTTCGTGTGTTTTAATGTTTTCTCCCTTCCCTTCATCTAACTTGTCTTTCTTTCCTCTTCAGTGGAGATAGTTTCTGAGCTCTCCAGGCTACACACATCTTTCTCCCCCCGCCGCATCTGCTGCTTCCTTCCAGGTGTACTTTGATGTGACAGCACAGCCTAACTCAAGCTACAGGGCTCTTCAGTGTAACATGGCCTTAAAAGTGAAGAACAAAGTTTTCAAATACATTGTTATATATATAGTTTTAGAATAAAATACTTTTTTTAGAGTAAATCTTAACAACTTACATCTTACTACCTTTATTGTTCGTCTTCCATCTATTGTAAATCTGTATTCTGTTTCATTTTTACAGATGATATACTGCATAATGGGAATAATATTCTTCTGTGTAGATTAGTATAAATTTGGCATGTTCAGACCCAGAAAGGGCAGCCACAGTTCAGTATGTTGGGGTTGAACATTTAATCTTTATTTGGGTGGAGGGGGCAAGGGGAAGGAAGGGAGGGAGCAAAAAAACCCCACCTTTGTTCTTCACCTTTTAAAGAAAAATTGCTTTTTGTTGGAAGCTATCTGCATAATTCAGGCCTTACCACTCTACCAAAGCAACAGTGATCTTCTGAGTTGATCTCTACAGTGGCTTCTCTTGATTTTCACCAGGACTTGGCTGTGGGTGAGGAAAGTCTGCTTCTTCCATCATTGCTCCTTCTGTGTTAAGAGAGAAAATGTACCCCCTGTGCCCTATCCACCCAATTCCCAAGCTCCCACCTCTCCCCTCAGCTGCGTTAACTTAGTAACAGTGTTTTTTTCCTCAGGCCTGGCACTATTTATGTACTTGGAGGGTGACCCTCCGAGGGTACCGCCCCATGAGCTGCTGTAATTCAGGTCACCTTCTTCAGGACTCATCTCTGTACTTTGTCTATTTTCTCATCTTCTTTCTTCAGGGTAAGCAGTGTTTCCTTCATCCGTTCTGATCCGTAGTACTGTTTTTTTGCCTCTTTAATTTGTTAGTGTCCGTCGTAGCTGTGGGCCTGATGCTGGGTAGAAGTTGGAGATTGCAGAAACAGTCAGTACCCGTCTGTGTGATGTTGAACTGCTCTGTTCTTGCCATGGCGTTTGCAGAGTTATCTCTGGCTAAGCCGTGGGAAAGCAGAAAAACCTATTTGTTTAGTGCTCCAGACTGAGTGGTAGTAAACGGGTAAGTGCAGCAGTGCTGAAATTGCAGGCGGGTGAACTGCATTTACCTTCATCTAAGTTTTGGTGCTTGTGGTTAATGGGCAGAGATGAGATGGGCAAATCACTGGCACTTCACTTCAGCGAAAGTTGCCTCGATTCTTTATGGCTTTCTCTGTATTTATGCCCTCTAAAAAGGTACCTTCTCTGAATTGTATTTGAGAAATCATTATTAGTCTTCATGATGGCAGCTTTTGCTGCTGTTTGTACTAGGCTCTTTCTCAATACATTCTTACCAGATTGCTTGCCTCCATAGCAGAAGAAGGGTTTTGCTCTTTGAGGGTCCCTCACAATATTGCTAGCTCGCTTTCTTTAGCTGTCATGAAGTATGGATGTGCCCAGCCCAGTCAGTTCCCAGCTAGTAGAGTTTTCTCTGCCTCCCCATTCACTGTTTAACACCTAATTGGACATTTTTTGCTTTTGTTTATGACGAACAAAGAGAGTTGCCAGAGAGAGGCAGTTACTCTCTCTCTGCAACTTTTATCCACTTAATGACCATGTTTCTACTAATGAACACAGTGTTGGCCACGTGCATTTCTTCAGTGCACCGCAAATCCATACAGGAAGCTTTTTATTCTAATATATTTCTATT